TGGTGCTTATTATTTAAGAACGATTCTAATAAACACGATATCTTGTAATTTTACATGTTCTTATTTTTTTATTTATTTTAATTTAGTTAGTCATTTTATTGATTTTTTTTAAATAAAAAATTAGCAATATAAATTACTACAAAGTAAGACGTTTTTTTTTCATATAAATATGCATTTTTTTTACAATATCACATTAAATTAGCTTAAATAATTTTCTTGTATTAAGTAAAAAATAAATGATTTCATGTTAGCCTATATATTTCTAGATAATTATTTGCAACTATATTATGTAAATAGTAGTAACTAACGTTAAAGATTAATTTAATGTTCAAAATCTGACTGCAATATGGTATGTACGATGGCTTTGGTCTGATTCATGTATGTATATGTATATGTGTGTATATATATATATATATATATAATTAAGGAAGAATATTTCAAAAGCTGAGGATGTCACAGACTTGACCTTACATGGCCTACAAAGTTGGAGTAGTACTCCAATGCATCTCCACATGACTAAATTTTCTTTGGGTTTTTTGGGTATACGAGAATTATTTTATTATTTAAAGGGTTATTTCTCTACTGAATTCAAATCCATCAAGAGGCTCTGAATGATTTGTTCTTGATGGGACAGGAAAAGAATATTGGCTAGGTTTCAAACCAAGTATAAAACTTGTTAGAATTTAGTCTGAAAGTTTAATCTGGTTAGGGTTAGCTAATTTATAAATATGAGTTTAACAGAAATTTTAAATCTACACTATAAAAATAAACTTTTAGCTGATGATATATTGAAATATTATTTTAATTTCATTAAATTTTTATTATTTTCTATAACATTGGCGTGTAAAACTCAGATAATAATTAGTTCCATTGTCAAATCTAATCTACGTCTACATTTGTTAATATGTGCATGAAATCAAACTCCAAATAGTTGGGAAGGAATTTGGCGATCCATCTATGATTATCATGTAAGAATAACTGGATTTAGTTCCCATTTGGTTGGACTCAATTGAACTTTACCCAGGATAAAAAATTGAAACATACATAAATATATATATATATATATATAATACATATATATATACACACTAACATATATTTATACATGATATAACCTCTCGACAATGGTTAATGTACTATTTGGAAAATCTTACTACTCTCGGAAAGTGTAAAATAAATATGAATCTACAAAGAAATCGTTTACATTATTTATGGTTTTAAAAAATTGGCTCTTTGAGAAAAGCATATGATTAATTGCTGGATCGTGGCTAAAAAGAATCCACTTAACTTTAATTAAAAATAAAAAATAAAGAATTTTTGTAGAATCCCTCTAAAAATATTAATCTAATAAATTAAAAGATAGTGAAAAGCTCATCCAAAATCATAAAATTGATTGCATAAAACATTTCAAATAAAATTATAACAATAAGAATAAAATTCCATCAAAACCAGAAGTAAATTTTCTCATAATAAAAGCCTTCCGCATTTTCGCCAATTTTCTCTTTTCTAGTTTCCTTCCAGAGTTGGTTCTTAAACTGAACAAAAATTCAAAATTGAAAAAGAACAAACGAAGATAACCAATCTGTACCATCGCCGTTAAAAATACAATCTTTTTTTAATTTAAAGAAAAACACAGGCTAACTTGCACGGCAGACTATAAGGTAGCCATCAACATGGGCTCGGATTTTGGCTCTTAGATCATCAGAAACCTGAGTGGTTTGAGTAGGTTGGGATGGAGCTCTTCCATCCCCGATACGATTTGATAAACTCACAGAAGCTTCCCGACTAGCACGATCACCATCACTAGCTTTTGATTGATCCGACTTCGAGCAGATTTCTCCTTCCTCCAAGTCCCCATCTTTTTCCTTACGAGATCTCTTCCTGTGTTTATTTGTTCTGCTTTCGTGCTGATGCTTATCCTTGGGAGATCTCTCGTGTTTATGCCGATGCCGAGAGTACTGCTGATCATCTTCAGTGGAACTATCAAGTCTATAACCATGTCTCGAGCGCCTGTGTTTATCATCAGAGGATTTTCTGTGTCTATCTCTTTTTCGAGAATGTTCATGCTCCTCATCTGAGGAGGGCTCATGTTTATGTCGATGATTAGAGATTTGCAGCTCATCATCAGTGGACACATCTTGCTTTTGCATATCTCGAGAATCTCGAGGCTCATTGTCGGAGGAGTTATCTTGCTTATGTCTAGAATCTGTGTCCTTGGAAGATGATCGTCTTTTTTTGTGCTTATGCTTATCCCTATTGTGGTGCGAAGAATGGCGAGAATGCCTCTTCTTCCTCAAGGATTTATGATCCCTTTCTTCTTCCTCTTCCTTTTCTTGATCTTCCTCTTCTTCCTCTTTTTCTTCCTCATCTTTGTCATGTCTTTCAGACCTTGCACGGTATTTCCTCTTTGAGCGCCGTTCATTATAATCATTGCCAGAGAATTTATTTCCTACCTTCTCAAATTTATCAGAAGCACCAGCATCAAATGGAACTAAACTACCTTCTCTTTCTTTAGCCAAA